TGCTGCGAGCCACACAGAGGGGTTGGGGAACTATGTCAGGATGCTGTTTGTTGATTTTAGTTCGACAATCAACACCATACTGCCGAACATCCTCTTCCAGAAGCTAACAGACCTGGGATTCCCACCCTCACCTGTGACTGGATAAACAGCTTCCTGATGGACCGGCCACAGACAGTGAGGTTTGGGACCCTAACATCCACCACTCGGACACTGAGCACAGGTTCGCCTCAGGGCTGTGTGTTAAGCCCTTTCCTGTATGCCCTATACACATACGACTGTGCCCCTCTCCACCACTCTAACATCATCGTCAAATTTGCGGATGACACAACAGTGGTGGGCCTCATCTCTGGCGGTGATGAGACAGCATATAGGGAGGAGGTCCAGAGGCTTGCAGCCTGGTGCTCAGCGAATAACCTCCTGCTGAATGCCAGCAAAACCAAGGAGATGGTGATGGACTGGAGGAGGAAGAGAGCTGACCCTGCCCCACTACAGATAGAGGGCGACTGCGTGGAGAGAGTCTCCTCTTTTAAGTTTCTTGGGGTGCATGTGGCTGACAACCTAACGTGGTCCACCAACACGTCAGCGGTAGTCGGAAAGGCCCAGCTGAGGCTACACTTCCTAAGACTGCTGAGGAAATGTGACCTGGATGTGCACCTGCTGCGTTCCTTCTACCGTTCCACCATAGAGAGTGTGTTGACATACTGCCTCACTATATGGTACCCAAGTTGCACGGCCAAGGACAGGAAAGCCCAGCCCCACTCTGCTAAGCACTGTGGACAATCATCAGTGTGGGTCATGGGAATATGTGCAACAGACTGTGTGGGTGGGTGGGTTTGAAGTGTGTGTGTGTGTGTGTGTGTGTGTGTGTTTAGATTTTACTCAGAAGTGTGCATGTGTGTGTGGGTGGGTGAGTGTGCGCATGGATGTGGGTTACATATGTAGATATGCATGGTTATTTATTTATTTATTTTTAGATCTTTTTTAAATACACAGAGGATATATTGCTCAACCAATTTCGTTGTAACATCTGTGACAATGACAATAAAAGAATTCGGATTCGGATTTTAGCTCAACTATGGACCCTATTTTAATGCACGCATGATGATGATTGATGATACTCATAAAAAGTACATCTGCACCGGATACTTATTTAAAGCCGAGTACTGCCGCAGCCCTACTTTTCTGTAGCTTTCAACCACATGTCCTGGCCTTCATCAGCAGAGGGAGTTTTCTCAGTTGTCACAGCTCTCGTATCATCACATATAAGTATGGAACTTGGGGTACGATGAGATAACAGTTGTTTGTATGTGAGGGGGAGGATAACCCCTGTAGCGGTTCAAGATGGTTTCTGGTGTCAGATGTGATTGTCCTCCTCAATCTTTCTCTGGCCGTTGATGACCTTTGACCTCTTCACAGTGAAAGCTGTGACTGGTTTTTCACAGATAGCTGATATGTGCCTCCAGGGTCCTTGCTGGTTCACTGATGTAGTGATGCCACGATGATGTCATACATGACTTCCTGGGGGTAACAAAACAAGCAGAACACCAAGTTATTGCACACTTCCCGTGTATCTCTTGTGCTGATTGTTCTGTCAAAACACAAAAGTGGAGTTTGTTCTGAGGAAGACCCTGGGCATTATGACAGTCATCATTAGGCCCCGTCCATGAATAAAATGCATCATTTAGGACATTTAAATAAATCCAGTTAGGAGTTAGGAGTTAGGAGGCACATACAATATGACAGAAAACGTAGCAGAGATTTAGTGGATTAAATTTGGTCAACGCAAGCAAAATCCTGCAGCATGTAAAAATATGTAACAATCTGCATCAGCATCATTCCTCAGCAGTTAGCAACCCTATTTGTTAATAAAGACACTGATCAAACAAGTTTCTGACAAGAAACACAGCTTATATCTGGAAAAAAAAATACAAAAAGCACAGGCCTACAGTAAAACTTAAATTAGTTACCAGGCTTTTATTAGCTTCAATCACTGAACTCCACCTGCTTTTATCTGGAAGAAGCCTCAGTAGCCACAGCAGGCTCGTAAAGGAGACTAATTGGGACTCTGCAAACTCTAAGGTTTGTTACCTTGTTGTTGATCATGAAGCTAACACTACTTCTAAGGGTCTTCCCCTTATCGGAAGGTTGTAGGTTCGATTC